TGAACATGGTAACAATCTTCCCCATTTATTCCCAGAGGTAACTATGGCCATTTATTCTGGTAACTGCACTGAGGAAAGGGTGATGCTTGTACATTTGGAGGACTATTGAACTTACCAATCATGGCCTTCCTGTTTGAGTGTGTACATATGGGACCAGGTAATAAATGGGGTTCTGGCCAGTATAAGACCACAAGGGATTCACTGAGCTTATAGACACAGATGGTGGTTATTTTATCACTCTCTGAACGTATAACTGGAATAGGCATACTTGGTAATTGGGATAACTCTCACATCAAGTCCTGCTCCTGTGAGGTAAGAGCTATCATATTAGGGAGAGCCAAGAAGAACCCTCTGAAAATTTCCCTCTCCAAGACAGTAAAAAAACAATATATCTCTAGTTTATCATCAAACACTTGATAAACCAGACCAGGATGATACACTTTACATCAAAGGAGAAGTGGCAGTAGGCTTATAACTATGGGAACTACTAGTCACAGTACATACCAGACCACTCCGAAACCGCAGCCTGATAGACCATTGGTAATACCTGTGAAAGGCACTGAGAAACTCCAGCTGCTCTGAGTATAGAGCCTGTGGGATGGCCTAATAATCATCCTGCACCCCGGCTCTATCTTAGTGTCTGCCTCTCAGACAAATCAACCTGCTACATGTTTACTAGCTACTCAGCCAACATTTGTTGAGATGCACAAAGCTAAAGTTTCTTCATAATCCGATGCTAATATACTCTGCAGTGGACATTATGCTCAACTCCTCCATATGAATGCCTTCCAGAAGATCAGTTTAAACAATGAGGGGTAATCCACTCAGCTGGCTGGAGGTTAGCCATTTCACTAGTTTCACAATGTATTCTCAATCCAAACCACTTCTGATCTTCACCACTATCATCCTTCTCCAAGCCACAATGTTCTTTCCACCTGTACTTCTGTTCTAGTCTCCTATCTCTGATTCTGCACTTGCCCCCCTACAATCGATTCTCTGTGGGCAGAGTGATCCTTTTCAAAATGTAAATCACATCACACCACTCTTCTCTTCAAAATCATTCAATGCCTTCCTATCCCCCTTAGAATAAAATCCAACATCCTTATCAAGGCCTAGGACCCACTGTGATCTTCCCCCATTGCTAACTTTCTGACCTCACATATTCCTTACATATTCTAGTTTTCTTATCCTGTTCTAGACACTTTACCTTCCACAGTGTTTCTTGAGCAATGCCAAACTCATTCTTGGCTCAGGGCTCTGGACTTGCTGTTCTCTCTGTATAGAAACAGCTTTTCTCAGATATTCACATGGCTCCCTCCTTCAGTTCACTCAGGTCTCTGCTTAAAAGCCACTTCCTCAGAGACTCTTTCTCTGCCCACCCAAGCCCAAACTCTTCCCCTGGTGTATATCTATTCTTCTTTCTATATTACACTACTGTGTTTTTGTTCACAGAATTTATAACCTGACATTGTATGTTCTGTTAATTTGTGCATTTTTGGTTTCTCCAACCAGAATATAAATTCCACGGAGGCAAGGGTTTTACTTTTTTTAATGCTGTAGTATTTAAAGATGCCTAGGACAGTGCTTGGTGACATTAGACGGGCTCACTAAGCATTTGTTAAATGAAGAAGCTACTCAGAAATGGGCACGTGGTCCAACTCTGGTCTATGACATGTGAGGGTAAGTGTGTTAAGTGTCTTCTGAGAAGGTTGATTATTTCTTAATGTCTTCTGAGAAGGCTGGTTATTTCTAAGCTAGACCCACAGGAAGAGACAAGAATCTCTCTTCTTCCTCTGGATGTGTTAATGTTGAAAATGTGAGGCCTGGAATTGTAGCAGTCATTTTGGAATCAACCTGAGGAGGAAGCCTATGTAACAACTGAAGGGCATGGAGAGATGGAAAGAACCTGGGTCCTTGATGATATTACTGAGCTGCTGACTCATCTCAGTCTGAGGCATCCCTTCTAGGGGTTTTCAATTGTGAGAGGGAGTAAATGTCGAACTGTTTATGCCAATGTTTTGTTTGTTTGTTTGTTTTGTTTTGCGGTACGCGGGCCTCTCACTGTTGTGGCCTCTCCCGTTGCGGAGCACAGGCTCCGGACACGCAGGCTCAGCGGCCATGGCTCATGGGCCCAGCCGCTCCGCGGCATGTGGGATCTTCCCGGACCAGGGCACGAACCCGTGTCCCCTGCATCGGCAGGCGGACTCTCAACCACTGCGCCACCAGGGAAGCCCTATGCCAGTGTTTTTAAGGGTAAAATTTCATTCACGGTTTTAGTCACAGCCAAGAACAATCTGGCTGATGCGTGTACCTTTTCTAGCTCTTCTCACTACACAATCCCGTACACCTGATTTTTAGATACATCAAGACTCCAGATGTCCAGCTAACTGTTCATCTGTGCTTTAGCTCAATCCTTCGCTTCTACACATGTAACAATTTACTCATTTCTAACACTTCCTCTTACGTGGACCAGCGTAGAATTTTCCTTCCCTGTCATGCCTCCCCAACAATTCACTACTGCGTTACAATCACTGTCTCTCCTGTAGCCCCATAACTTAGAGTTTACCTTCTTCCTGGTTCCTATTAATTCAGGTTTCATGCTACAGTGGTTCTCCCCCATTCTCACCTTCATTCATTCATGTAATCATTTGTTCATTCATCTGCCAATATTCATTTAACGTTTATTGCCAGGCTTTGTGCATATGTCAATAAACAAAACATATAAAAATTTCTGCTGTAATAGAGTTTATATTCTTGTTGATGGGGTCAGGGTGTCCATTCAATAAACTAATTAAGCAGCACATCAGGGGATAAGTGATATGAAGAAAGGTAATGCAACAGAGGGGTGAATAAGGAATAGCAGGGTGTGGGAGGGAAGGTTGCAGTTTTCAAAGTGGAAGTTCAGGGAGATAGTTCACCTCATTTAGAAGGTGACACAAGAGCAAAGACTTGAGTAATGTGAAGCAGCAAAAGCCATCTATCGGGGGCAGAGTGCTTCAGGTATAGACAATAGGCCCTAGGGCAGGAGTGCCCTCATGAGTTTGAGGAACAGCCAAAAGGTTTGAGGCAACCTTTTTGCCCGAGCAGAATGAGTACTGTCGTGAAAAAGCACACTGCCCCAAGGACCCAGCACAGTCACTCAGCCACTGAACCTTCCATAAGTGATTGTTTAAAGGGCATCACATTTTGTATCAAATAGTTGTTTCTATTGACTGGATTTGTGATTATGTACGTCATCCAAGTATTAAAGTATTCCTAATTTAAAAGCTAATAGGCTATATTATGAACCAGATTTGTTTTCTACCATTCAGGGAGCTTTCATAAGAGAATTACAAGTCCCAGTGTTCAGACTCACACTTCAGTGTTAACCCCTCCTGCCTCAACATTAACTCCAGGTCTCAGATTCATTGACCTAAGGCTAACAGATATCGCAATCACACTTAGAGGTAAAATAAGCCACAACTGCAAGATGGACGGTACAACGAGTACTCCATCTGCTAATCCTGTGACCTCCTCTCTTGCCTGTGTGACACACTGCTTCTCATATGAAAGATTCTGTCCTGACTCCACCACTCCAGGCTCATGGTAGCATTAGTCATCAGGTGTGCCCCTTGCAGCAAGACCATCTCAGCTTCTACTGAGTCACCATACCACAGCCATTGCTCCTGCCATTCTGTTCCAGTAGCACCACTCTAGATGTCTGGTCAAGAACTGAGTTATCTTCGTTACTGCCTTAAAGAGCACTATATCATTCCCATCCCCCATTGGGAGGACTGGGGCAGAGCTGTCCATCAAGAAACTTTTCCAGGACAAAGTCCCACCCCACTCAAGATAATCTAGGCCTTGGTGGTTAAGTCTGCACCATAAGTCTAGGTGTCTGTGCTCTCAGGAGAGCCTTGGACATCCTTTCCTGTAGGTCAGGATTATCTCAGAATACCATTGTGCCACAAAGTGTTTGGATCCCATGATGGGACCTAAAGGTCGAAAAGGGTTCAGTCATGAGGATAATTCCAAGAAGAATGATTCCAAAAAAGGGAAGATGCACAACCCAGACTGCAGTTACAGATATCACTGCACTGAGGAAGTTGCAACGCTTCCAAATTCTTTAAGTAAATATATAGAATCAAATTATCTTCCAAGAAAAACATATCCTCAGACTATGATTATAAAATTCTCAATTGTATCACTGTCATTTCCCATTGTGATCGTGTAGCAGATACTATTTTGGATGTTTGGATGATCCGACTCCCACCCTCCATGGCCTCGTTCCCGGAGGTGACCATCTGACACAGCTCTGGCCAATAGAATGTCAAAGGGAGCAAATTGAATGGGGCTTCCTAGAAGCTCTGTGCTTTTCTGATAAAGTGTCTTTTACTCATCTGTTCTGTACTCTTTTAGACAGATAACTAAAGCCTCCTGTTCTTTAAGATGGGAAAAAACCAAGAGGATCATGGAGATTCTGGATATTGCTAAGCTGAGGAACCATCACCAGTAGCTGTCAACCTTCAGATTTCATATTATGCATAAACAAATAAACCTTTATTGAAAGTGTTACTATTTGCATATTATGTTACTAGCAGCTGAAACATTGCTCACTGATACAAGCATGTGTGTTCACTTGGTCACTTTGTTGTGACATCTATTCATTCCTCCTTGCTTATGCCCTTACTTCCATTAATTTTTTTCTTCAGTGATGGGGAACTAAAGCTTAGGGGAAAATATTTAGCTTTATGCTTTTCATGTATATTCAGATTTTATGGTTAATACTGTTTCTTTATGAATGATTTTTAAATTGTGTTGTTAAAGTCTTTCCTTCATGTCCATTATTTCTAAAAGAAAAAAAAATAAGAATCATGCTTATTTTAGATATTTTCCCATAGGTGTAGTATTGATTAGCTTAGAACTGAAACATACAATTTTATCATCTTTCAAAATTTGATAGATTATAGAATTGGAGCTGGGAAAAACATTTCTCTAGAATTCATGAAATAATACTTTACTTTGTGGTTCTCATCTTTCTTGCGATGATTCTGCTTTCACACAAATTGCTGTTCAAGAAGGATGACTGAGTCTAGAAAGGAAAGAGGGAGGTGAGTCATTTTTTTCCATCCCTGCACAGAATAAATAAGTCACTGAATTTAGCATCTTGATTTGGTTTTCCCAAAGCATTGACTTTCTTAGATTTTTCTTGTATTTAAATTTGAAAATAAAACCAAATAACCAATTATATTAACAAATATTTTCATTTCACCTATTACATTATTTAAAAGATTTTGAAAATCTCATTTTTATCAGATTTAATTTTTTTTATATTTCTTCTATATGGAGATTATTGTTAATAAAGGTTACTAAAACCAATTTTTTTTAATGTTTATTTATTTTATTTTTGGCTGTGTGGGTCTTTGTTGCTGCATGTGGGCTTTCCTCTGGTTGCGGCGAGCGGGGGCTACTCTTCGTTGCGGTGCGTGGGCTTCTCATTGCAGTGGCTTCTCTTGTTGCGGAGCACGGGCTCTAGGCATGCGGGCTTCAGCAGTTGTGGTGCGTGGGCTCAGTAGTTGTGGCTCGTAGGCTCTAGAGCGCAGGCTCAGTAGTTGTGGCACACGGGCTTTGTTGCTCCGCGGCATGTGGGATCTTCCCGGCCCAGGGCTCGAACCCGTGTCCCCTGCCTTGGCAGGGGGATTCTTAACCACTGCGCCACCAGGGAACCCAAAACCAAATATTTTGAACATATTTCTGTATTGTATGTTTGTTAGATAAAGTAAGAGGAGACCCAGTGGTTAGAGAATAATGCCTTGGTGATTCAGAAATCTGAAGGTCAGCCTCTTTCTGTATTTTTTTTTTAAATAACCTCAGACAAATGGTTTCACCCTCTGTTTGTTTTAAATATGGTCATTCAATTTGTCTTCTACCAGATGTACTCATTCAATAATTTATTTATTTTGAACCTAGAAAAAAATGTTATGCCAGCCTCTGTAGAAGAAAATTTATATATATACATACATATATATGTATATGTGTATGTATATATATGGTATAGTCACTTATTTTACAATCTAGCTGAGTGAATAAATAGTCTATGTGCAATAGTGTATGCTATGTTTCATGAGTGGTACTTACCAAAATAACTACAGGAAATCATAAAGATCTCCTTTAGTCAAGTAATAGAGAAAGATTTCACAGAGGGGATATGTTTTGAGTTTTGACCTAGACATTTTTGAAGGCATTAAGAGCATGGATTCTAGAGTAAGACTACTTCTGTTAAACTTCAGCTCATCTAGAATGTATGCCTACTTATTTGTAGAAATAATAATACCTATTTTATAGAGCTGATAAAATACTTAAAGAATTTAATATATGGAAAGTCTTAAAACAGTGTCTCTCATGTTATATGAGCTTAAAAATTCTACCTATCATTTTAGTAGGTGGAGAGGTATGGTGAGCATCAAGGGAAACCACAGGAACAGACATCTTCAGGAAGACTTGATTAAGTCTACTGTGTTCGTTTCCTAGGACTGCGACAACTCAGTACCACAAACTGGGTGGCTTAAAACAAGAGACATTTATTCTCTCACAGTTCTAGAGGCCATGAGTCTGAAATCAAGGTGTCAGCAGGGCCACACTCCCTGGGGAGACTTTAGGGGAGAATCCTTCCTTACTTCTTCCAGCCTCTGATGACTCCTGGTGTTTCTTGGCTTAGATAACTTCAATCTCTCCCTCCATCTTCACATGACCTTCTTCTCTATGTCTTCTCTCCTTCTCTTCTCTTGTAAGGACACATGTAATTGAATTTAGGGCCCACTCTGATCTAGGATAGCCTCTTCCAAATAAGATCACATTTACAGGTTCCAGGTAGACATATCTTTTAGGGGGCCATCATTTAAGCTAATGCAACTATTTGTAGGAATTTAAAAGTATATAAAGGGGAGCTTTATAATAGACTTAGAAAAGTAAGAAGTGGCTTTCAATACCTGGGCACAAAGTTAATAATTTATTTTATAGATATTGGTAAACCACTGAAAATTAGAGTCACAAGATGAGATCTATCATTTAGAATAGTAATCCAATGGTAGAGTCCAGAATTTGCTGAATAGGGGAGAAACAAGGAAAAAGTGGTGGAGAGAGCTATTGTGAGGAGATGATAATTTTTTTGCGGGACATTTGAATTTGTGTTGGGAATTCAGGGCTATATCCTAAAAAAGAATAAGGACCTGAGATATAGGTTTGAGAGACACTTTTATAATTGTGATACATGAAAAAATGAGATTAGGTAATGTTCCTGAGAGTTTATAGCCAAAGGTTTTGAGAGAGAATCTGTTCAGAGATTATCCTTAAAATGCCATATACAGTAATGTTGTTATTTGGGAACCTGGCTAACAAAAGAGGGAACCTATAATTTATCTCTAATTCAACCATTCTGCCAAAATTGATCCATATAAGATAAAATAAATACAACAACTTGCCTCCCTTTCCACCTTTATTAGGCAAATGGCTTAACTTCAACTGGCCTTGTTTCGGAGCTGTAATTACTTCGGTGACTGTGGTATCTGGTCATCTCAGCATAAGCAGCCTGTCAACATTTTGGGTCATTTCAATCCATCATCTTGATAAAGGTCAAGCCTGACTTCCCCCCACCACACACACACACACACACACACACACACCCCAAAATTGTTTTTCTCTTCTCTTGGCCAACATACTTGCTTTCTGTTTCTTTGCCATCCTAATATGACAGCTGGTATCAACTTTAGAACCCCTCTCAGTATTAATAGCATGAGGATAGGCTTTTCCAAAAGAGTAGCACTTCTTTTAATGAAGAAAATCTACTCTCCTATTGACTACATTGTTGTCAAGAGCTGTATCATCAGAGACAGAAAAAAAATATGTAATCTGTAGAGCAGAAAAACATAAATGACAATTCACAAATAAATGATAAATTACTAACTCAAATAACATCAATGGGTTGGTGAAAGAGGGGAAAGGAAAGTGGGTGGAAGTTTAGCAAAAAGCGGTAGAGATGCAGAGAAATCTGCACAGAGCCCACATCAGCAGGTGTACAGTCAGAAAGGACCGTCGGCAAGTTAGTGTTTCTCAAAGCATGATTCTTGGGCCACCACTACCAAAATGAAATTAAGGGCTTGATAAAAAGGCAGATATCTGGACCCTAACTTTAGGAATTATTTTGTTTCTGAAAAAATATCTGCTCTGTAACTATAAAAATATTACTCTAAAGCCCTTTGGAAGAAGCCAGTGAAGAAGGAACCTCAGCTAGCCAATAGCCAGGAGTGGCCCGAAATAGGCAATTAGAGCAGTTGCAGCCTCTCCCGCCCTCAGGTCATTCTCCACCAAAGAGCAGCTCAGCCTGTTGGGAAGCAGGAACCTCCTTTCAGCCTGCAGTCACCCTCAAAAGAGGTTAAGTGAGCTTTACCTTCAAAGCCAACCAGCTGATCCTAATAGGGCTTTCCAATCCCTCACAGCTCATCTGCAGTCTGAAGCTTGTTTTCAGTAAAGTGGAATTCTTTGACTCTTTCAGATCACAAGGAGACAGGACCTGTTTAAAATAAATATGTCCTGTTTTAGGCAACCAACTGTTGTGAAGTAATTTTAGTCAAAGTATGAATTAGATTGTGTGAAATAAATAGAAATGGGCTTGCATTTTGACAGCGGCAGGGGGCAGTAAAGAGACCTGGAAGGCAATAGATGACTAACACGGTATAATGGGGACAAAGTGGACATGAGGATGAGACATGGATTCAACTCTGAAATCTTATAATGTAGAAGAGACATTGATTCTTTTGGACCCTCTGTTTCCCAACCTAAGAAATGGAGATTGTTACCACCAGCATCAGGATTGCTGCATGGATTAAATGTGACAATATTGTCCTGGGGCACTCCAAGGTGCTCAATGAAAAATATTTCTTTTCTCTTTCCTGGATTTGAGGAATATTTTATTCTCAAGAGGAGACAAATGGTTTAGAATGTAGAGAAGAATAAGATGTAATCACACCTTAAAATCTTCACATTTTGCTCAAGATACGCCAGGCAACAGCAATGGAAACGGCAGGTGGGAATGATATGACTGACACTTTAAAAAGAACCTACTCCCAGGCATTAGCAACATGACCTGGTTCTTATGGAACCAGGAAATATGAGATAGGAAATATGAGATAGCCAATTTAGGACAAAGGTCCTGACTCAGTCATTTTTAAAGGCCAGTCTCACCAATCTTTTTTTTTTTTTTTTTTACACTCCTGTCCCACTTACCTTTTGATTCCCTGACTTTCATGATCCTCATCTAGGATATCAGCTAAATGACTTTTCCTGTACCCAGATCCATGAACACTTTGTCCCTTTCCCTTGGTTTTAATAACTATTTTATACATTTGTCTCAGTCCACAGTCGCCTCCATAGGTAGGGAAGGTATACTGGTTTCAAATAAAATACTTTACAAATCAAATGTCCAACAATTCTATCAACAAACGGAATCTTGGCAATGCATTCATTGGTTGGTTTTTTTCTTAGATTTTTAAAGCCTGAAATACATTTCTCACATGATTAATGATTTATTTTTAACAAGGCTGATTTTATGGAGAGAAAGTTTGGATCCAGAGGTGTCTTTGTAAACTGATTGAGATTCTAGCTTTTCCCCTTGAACCCAGCCAAATGTAGTTGAAATAAAACGTTTTAACCAGTGGAAGTCATTAAATCGAATAAAAGTTTAGAAAGGGTTTAGTTGTTTGTGAATATAATACATAAAGATGTCCAAAATATATTTAAGCATGTTTTCTTATGTTGTTCTTATATGTGGTTAGGCCATAATTTTAAAAGTATTTAATGGTCAACTACTGAACAACTTAGCTATGAAGGAAGAAAAGCACTGTGCTATGAGAGTTTGTAATAGGGATCACTGATCTACTTTTGGAAGTTACACAAGCCTTCTCAAGGAATTGTTGATTGAATGGAAATCTGAAATATGAGTTAACTCAGATACAGAGTTGGGAACTTCCTGCAGGGAAAAAGCATTATGTACATGGTCCTGGTGTGGGAAAGGGCATAGTGCCTACCAAATGACCTGAAAGAAGTTGGGCAGAAGAGTAATAATTGAGTGTTGATACTGAAAAGATAGGCAAGAAGTAACAGCATATGCAGCCTTGCAAGTCTTATCGTAGATTTTGGTTTTTCTTTTAAGAGCAAAGAAAGTTACTGAAAGGTTTTAAGCAGGAAATTGACACGATCAGACTTGTATTAAAAAAAAAAATACTACTCTAAGCTACTGCGATTAGAAAGGCAAAAGTAGATAGAGGGAGACCAGGGATGGAGTCCTTGCAGAATTCACGAGTAAGAAGCTAACTTCAAGGGTAGATGTAAAGGTTGTCCTAAGGGCATTTATAGGGGTAGTGGTAAGAGTCATGCCTTGGATGCAGAGAAGCAAGTAACTTTTAGAAGCATTTTTAATATAATATGACTCAACCATTGATTACATTGGAGGAGTGAGAGAGATATAGAGATTTCAGTTAACATCAAGTTTTGGCTTCTAGCTTGCTCAGCTGATGTGTGGATAAAGCTTTGATTCTGGTATACACACATGAGGATATACAGATAAACGCTAGATAGTTAGATAGGTTTTACATTTTGTGTAGTATTACTCCAAACATACTAACAGAAAGGAACATAGTATGAGCTTTTTCAGGAAGACTTTGGGCACCCTAGGATCAGGACTCTTCCCTTCTGGTCATGGGAAGCTGATATTCTTTTCAACAATCCCAAAAGATGTAAAAAATGATAGCACTGTCAAATCACATGTTGCTGCCCACTGTGGTTCTTACCAAACACATAAGTATACGAACAGCTGTGTCTTTTACCCATCCATCTCAACCAAATAGATTCAAAGCTCAAACCAACAGTTGCATCAATGAGGCAGTGTAAGAAAATAATTAGCATGGGGATTTTAGGACACATATTATTGATATACAACCTTGTTTTGATATTAGGATCTTGAATAATTTATATACTCTTTGTATGGTACTTTTCTATAAAAATAAAAAAATATTATAATAAAACTTATAGAGTTGTTGTGAGAAGTAAATGAGTTAATACATGTAAAGTGCTTAGGAAAATGCCTTATGTTAGAATTACTGGTCTCTACTTATCTTTTCAGTGTTGTGGTGACTGTATTGAGTCCTATACATGTCACTAGATCTTGGAAAAGTCTAAATCAAAGATTTTCTTAGAATATATTCCAGCTAAACTAAGCAGGGCTGCAGGAGGATAAAGTTTCAGAACAGAAATCATGACTTCCATTTGTGGTATGTTTATTTTTAGCTGACTATGAGGTATTAAAGTGAATATTTTGAGACATCTGTGAGATATATTGTCTGGCTTTTGGAGGAGGTCTGGGATAGAGATAGAAATTAATGACTGTTAGCATATAGATGGGAAAGGAAACTATTGATATAGATGAAATCACCAATGGAGAGAGTATACAATAATGTTGCACTTTGAGTTTCACAGGAAACAAACTCTGTGATGTGAATTAGCATGTAGGCAGTTTATTAGAGGGTATTCTTAGGATCAAAAAAATATGAAAAAAAAAAAGAGTCAGGATAGGGCAGTGAGAGAAGTTGCACTATGATGCAATATAAAAGGCCTCAGAGAACCTGAAACCAGAACAGAATTTCAGAATTGTTCAAAGTTAAGGGAAGGTTTCAGGCCTTTATAGTCCTATGTAGCCCAGTCATTGAATAAATCGTCTTCTAACAGACAAGGGCTCTCTGACAGATATTCCCAGAGAATGGGCCCTACCGTGCTGAATCTGAGAAGCATCCACCACAGGTGAAAGAAAAGATGCTCCAACCAACCCTTGAACACCTCTAACTTTTAAAGTTCCAGGATGTGAAGATAAGCCAGGAAAATAGAATTAGAAGGGGGGGGGGGAGGCCAGATAATTAAAAAGATAAATGATACGTTGGGTAGGAGATGCTAAGAAAGGGAGTATAGTATAAAGGATGGAGTGTTACGCAGTGTCAAATGTTGCTGGGTTTGGAATTTTAAAATTCATTGTAAAGAACAAACTAAACCTAAAAGAAGAAGACAGAAAAAAATACTAAAGTTCAGAGTAGAGATAAAAAGAATGCAGAAGAGAAAATCTATCAAATCAAATGTATTTCTTTGAAAAAATAATCAATAGAGTTGACAAATTTGAAGCAATACTGACCAATTAAAAACCAGAGAAGACTCAAATAAGTTAAATTGAGAAGGAAAGGGATCCATTACTACTGATCTTATAGAAATAAAAGGGCTTATAAAGAAATACTGTGAACAACTGAGAAATTAGTTGATGTAGGTGAAATGAGCAAATTTTTAGAAGGACGCAAACTACCATAACTGACTCGAGATACATAGAATGTCTAAATGGGCCAATAATAATTAAAAATGTTGAGTTAGTAATTTAAAATTTTTCCCACAAAGAAAAGTTCAGGACCTGATGGTTTAACCAGTGAATTCTACCAAAACTTTAAAGAGGAATTAATATCAATCCTCCCCAAACTCCTTTAAAGCATGGAAGAAAAGAGAAGATATCTCAGCTCATTCTATGAGGCCAGTATTAATCTGACACTAAAACTGGAAAAATACAACATAAGAAAAGAAAATTATAGACCAATATTCTTTATTAATATCGATACCAATATCCTCAACAAAATACTAGCAAACCAAATCCATTAGCATATAACAATGTTTTTATACCATGACCAAGTGGGATTTTTCTGAGGAATACAAAGTTGATTTAACACCCTAAAATCAATCAATGTTACAATATTAATATAATAAAGGACAAAAGCTTCATGATTAACCCAATAGATTCAAAAAGAGTATTTGATAAAACACGTGACAAAAACACTCAACAAATTAGGAATAAAAGGATTTTCTTAACCTGAACTTTCTTAACCTGATGAAGAGCATTTATGAAAATGTGGTGAGATCTTAATTCCTTTTGAGTTGGTGTGTTGGGCAGGGGGGAAGGGCATAACTTGTGTATTAAATTAAGATTATGCAGATTATACCTTTTAAATGAGGAGGCATAAGCCCCTCACATAGGGTTGGCAGACAGCTCCCTCAGCTTCTGAGCTCTCACTTTTGGGAAGTAAAAACCCCTTGGTCATTTTGATTGAAGGCGCAGTTTCAATACACCCACACAAAAGAAGTCAAGTCACCAGATTTGTTACTTACAGATTCCAGAAAACGGGCTGGGGGCATCCAACGAGCTAGTGGAAGGGCAGTCTTCCATCCCAAGTCACGATCGAGCAGGAGAGAGGGAGCAGGGTAACAAGTACCTATGACTTATAAGATGTTTGGGTGGAGGTCACTAACTTTTTGTGGACTCACCTCTAAGAGGTTATTTTAAAAGGTGCCCCAGGAAAAACAAAAAGGAACTTGTGGTGGGAATCCTAAGCTCAGGTCCTTATTTAACTATCCAAACTCTGGGTAAATCAGGGTTGTCGTACTGTAAAATGCCTAGGCAGCAACTAAAAACAGCTGTTTTCTCATCA